AGCAGGAATATTAGCACACCCTGATCAAAAATCCTTAGCCTTGACTACAGCCAACACCGGTGCTCCGGAAAACAAAAAAAAAAAAAGAAAAGCTGCTGACCCCTGTGGCAACAGGAAGGGGGAAAATTTATAAACTCTGGCTCTCCATAGAAGGTGTGATATGTAGAATTTCCCTCCTTGTATCCTCTCAACAAACTTATCCCAGCTGCTTTTAATCTTCTTTCATAACTAAGCTGGATAGGGAGCTCTGCTTCATTCTTCAGCTGCTGAGCATGGTCCTCTCCAATATCTACCTGCTTTGGACTACAGAGCTCTTCTCATGATCTCCCAGTGATTGGGGGCAGAGATGGTGGGGAAATCCTGTGTGTCCAACTGTTGCTCTTCGTAGAGCATTCCAGGCATAGCTACTCCTAGATTACTGGGGGCGGGGGGACAATTTTTCTGGCAGGTGTGCTACAAATTAGCCCTGTATCCTTCTGAGTGCCACTCTGATCCCCTTCCCCAGCTTGAGCCACTGCTCTGCTTTCTGCTTCCTGCCCAGTGCTCCTGGTTCAATCTGCTGTTCTTCTTTTTGCTGCCTGCCCCTCCTGCTTCCTGTGCCATGCAGGCTGGCTGCCCAGGCCACTTGTGGACCTCTGCTGTCATCCCTGACTGATGCTGAGAAAATACTGTACATACTGAGGAAACGATTCTCTCTCCAAATCAGGACTACAGTTGATAAAGCCAGATAAATGCAAAAACTTACATATGCCTCAGGTTTTTAGTGTTTTTAGTAGACTCTACAGCAGACGCTGAAAAATGTGCTTTATAGTGATACTTGTTTCTTTAAAATATAGAATCTTGATGAAGTGTAAAAATGGATAAGCTTCCAGACTTTGAAAACAATTTTCAGCCTTTAATATTTTGTAAACACAGTGCGTAAATGACTGGAGATGCAGTAATGACTGTAAGCAAAGTTTTGCTTTAATGTAATGTCTTAACTCTTAAAAACCTTCCATTTCATTTTTTTTGGTTCTGATTAGGTTCATACATTCTATGAAGCTGTTGGATACATGATTGGGGCACAGACTGACCAAACTGTACAAGAGCATCTGATAGAAAAATACATGTTGCTCCCTAATCAAGTGTGGGACAGTATAATTCAACAAGCAACAAAAGTAAGAGTTACAAATTTTAAACACCATTAACATTTCTGTATGTTTAGTTAAGGATATTTTGTTAAATGTTGGGTTTCCAGTAAAGTTTTTGGTGCTTAGTGGGGCATTGTTGGGGAGCTACTTCACAATTTTTGCAGAAATCATGAAATCAAAATTTAAAAAACTTGATAAAAATAAAATCCTGGCTCCCCAGTGGGAGCCAGTGCTCCTTGCTGCCTTCGCAGCCCACCTGGGAGAGGAAGGCACCAGCTGGTGATGGTGAAGGGCAGTCAGCAGCCAAGATGATGGCTGGGGTTCTTTGTGATCCTCCCTCCCCACCCCCATGGCCTCTCTGCCAATCAGTGGCTAGAGGAGGGACCACATGAAGGGCAGCCATCAGCCAAGATGGCAGTCCTCCCCCCTGGGGCCATTGCCAATCAATGGTGAGGGACCAGGCCACCAGGAAATGCCCATGAAATTGGTTCTTTGTGCTGTGACTAAGCTGCAAATTAAGTAGGTCCTTAGGCATTTTGTGGATTAGTTTTGGAAAGATCTGGCTTAAGAGCTGTCCAATAGTATGGTTGGCATATAATATTAAAAATTGCAAAAACAAGCAAGGGGAATAAATGGGAAAATGGACATGTTTATAGTCCTTTTAAAAAAAATAGCAGCATATTGCTATACATAATATTAATTTTTACCTATGTGTGAGCTTCATTGGATCTCTGGGAGACAGCTACTTCTCCCAACATGTCAGTATGCCAGGTAGGAGAGAATTGTTTCTGAATAGTAGAAAATCCCAAATATAAACTCACTCCAAAAAACATACTGTTTATTCAAGAAGGTGGCAAGGAGGAAAAATATACATTTCTAATCCCCTATTTAAACGTCCAGTTTTTCCAGATAGATTGCTCCTCTTTCTGATCCCATTGCAGGAGTCTATGCTGTGAAGAGTGATTCTTCATGGAGTCTCACTTAATACTGTTCTGAATTTTAGACTAAAGCAGGTTTCTCCCTCTGTTTCATTTTCTAGTCTGTTCTTTTCTTAGTCCCCTATTCCAGTGTTCTTCTCTTCCATTTGGCTAGCATTAGCATTGTTGCTTGTATACTTAGTACTACTTCTGAGGAGTAAAACCAAAGTAATCCAGGGTTCATCCTACCAGTCTTCCTGCTAACTTTGTTAAAAGCCCTGAGCAGCAGTATAGGGCCTGTTTTCTCCAGCGGCATATTCTTCAGCCTTTCTCCCTTAACCAGTGTGCTGTCAGTGACCATTTTTGAATCTTAACTTCAGCATCTTAACTGTCTCCCTTACTGAGCAGACCTGATTTCAGTTGTTGTTTTCAACAGAATGTTGATATTCTAAAGGATCCTGAAACAGTTAAACAGCTGGGTAGCATCCTGAAAACAAATGTAAGAGCATGTAAAGCAGTCGGCCACCCCTTTGTGATTCAGCTTGGAAGAATTTATTTAGATATGCTGAATGTATACAAGTGCCTAAGTGAAAACATTTCTGCAGCTATTCAGGCAAATGGTAAGATGTTCCATGTGCTCTTTATGAAAATGAGAATAATAGTGTTTTCCTTACTTTTCAAAGCATGTCTTTTGAGGACCTATACACCATCCCCACTTTACAGGTCATGAAGCTGAGGCATGAAGGTGAAATTAAGGCTGTAGAAAATATGGTTTACATAAGTGTTTTTTTTCCTCATGATCAAGAGCTGTATTGGTTCTTTTTTCAAATCAAATTTCTTCATGTTTTTTGGTGAAGAGAATGCTAACCTCTTAGTCCAAAATAGTTTGTAGAGCTCTAAAAAATGTCTCCCATACATTGTAATAAAGCTCTAGGAATGCTTTTTGGAAAAAAAATGTAACCTATTTTTCGTGAACCACTTACAGTTTTTTAAGAAACTTAAATATCTGGAGCTAGTAGACTTTACTGGTCTTCGTTGCCAAGAAGCTTGATTAATCATTTGGAAACAGTGCAACTAGAGCTTGGGACATAGCGGAACTTGAGGTATACTTCTGATGCCTATCTAGTAGTAGAATAACTGGCATACGTGAGATTCACAATTCCTCTTCAGAAAGATCATATGGAGAACAAGGTCAAAAGTGTGGAAGACCTTCTTTGCCTCCCCAAAAAGATGCAAAGATTCTAAAGGACACTAAAGGTTAGGTCATATGTTTGACTGTAATAGGTAAAAGATTCCCCATCAGTTGACTTGTACCAGACTTATCCCATGTAGCTTCATGAATGCAGCTGAGTTTCTGACCAGTAAAGCTCCTTTGGTTTTATGCTTCCTTTAAGGTGCGTGCTGCACTTGTAGCTAGCTGTCCACTGGGAAATAGAACGAAAATAACTATAGGTGTTTTCTGTGCACATTAACTCTTTGTACATCTGCTGACTGCTAGAATGAATCCAGCTGTTAAGTCTTGCACTTGAAATTGTTGTACTGATTAAGTTTCTACAATAAATTTAAATTAATTTGACATCCTTAACTGAAATTTTAAAACCTTTTTCAGGTGAAATGGTTACAAAGCAACCTTTGATTAGAAGTATGAGGACAGTAAAAAGGGAAACTTTAAAATTAATTTCTGGTTGGGTGAGCAGGTCCAATGATCCTCAGATGGTAAGTAAATTTTAACTCTCCATAAAACTGTCTACTTTGAAAAAATCAATAATTATGGCATATCAAAAAAGGTGGTCATTTTTTGGGAAATCTAAAACATAACACATACTGAAGGCATGGGTGGTTTACTTGCATCACGATGGAATACTGTTGAGCTACGGTCAAGTTTAGTTGAAGTGGATCTATTTGAACAATACTCTGAGGCAAGAATGAAGTTAAGGGAAATATTACCAAAAAAGTACATTTTTATAGGAACAATTGTTGGTTATATAAGTGTGTGCATATTGTGTAAAATCCTTTATTTTTTTTCTTTAAAGAGAAATTGAGATGTAGTCACATACAGTGTTTTCTCAAATATGGGGAGGGAAAGCCCCTCATCTTACTTTGGCATACAAAGAAACCCTGTCTATCACTACATGGCATACATTTCAGTTTTACTCCCACAGCTGCACCAAGCGGGGCCCCAAACTGTTCACCCAGAATTTGTCACCCCTTCTTTTAGCCAGTCTCATGATTTGTGTGGCCCTGCCCTCCATGAGGTGAAGCTGGACCAGGTTGCCCTGTCTCATCTGCACATGACAAGAACACCCAGTTCCAGTCATGAGCAAGGGGCTAATTAATTAGCACATGGATTCCTTTGTGGGGGGGGTGTTATCTGGAATATGCACATGTACTGAGCTGTGGGGTCACCATAACTTGAAATGCTGTTGACTGCTGTTCAAAAGTGTGTTTATGGAGTACCTGTGCTAAAATTTCCAGTGGTTTAAAAAAGAAAAAGGTAACGTGCATCAATTCTGGATGAAATTAGTATATGGGTACTATATGCAAATTATTACAGCTCAAGAATAGCAGGGTCTGACAGTATTGAAGAGGGGAAAGTAGTTGCAAGGGGAAGAAGTAGGGGATTTATTTTCTCTGCTGTAGCAGAAGGAGGGGAACAAATTCAAGGCAGACCTCCAATAATTAGGTTCTACAGCTGAAAAATAACTGTATAAGCTGTGTATTTGGGAGTCATCTTGTATTAAAGGTTGTCTTATTTGAGTAAATATGGTAAGTTAAAAAGACTAGGGTGCCTATACATGTGCTTTGGGGTAGGTTGGCAGGGAGGGTGTCTTAATTAGAGCAGTTCTTGGGATGTAAGAACCCCAGCATCTCATGTAATCAGTGTCCTGCATTTCAAAATGGCAGGAGCATCTTGCACCCCGAGATGTAGTGGGGTGCACTTTAAAGCTCAAATGAACTTTAGTTATAGTGCCCCTTCCGCCATTTTGAAACACAGGACATGGCATACACGAGATGCTGCAGCACGCTGGAGCATTCTGATTAGAACGCTACAGCAGACTTGATTAATCGAGTCTGCCCCAACGTGCTCTATTCAGAACACATTGGACTCGCGTGTAAAATTGCCCTTAGAGTCTGCTACAAAAGGCTTACTTCAATAATGAATTACTTAACGGCGCACTGCTTTTCTTTACCAGGTAGCTGAAAATTTTGTTCCTCCCCTGTTGGATGCAGTTCTTATTGATTACCAGAGAAACGTTCCAGCTGCTAGAGAACCTGAAGTACTCAGTACAATGGCTATCATTGTAAACAAGCTTGGGGGACATATTACTGCTGAAATACCTCAGATATTTGATGCTGTTTTTGAATGCACGTTAAATATGATCAATAAGGTATGTGTTTAACCTGTGGTCTTTCATGTGGTGTATAAAAAGAGCTGATTAAAGAGAGCTGAAGTTTCATATCTGCTCCTGACTTGGCCATAGCTGTTGGCTTGATGAAAGATGCTTAGATGCTTCAATGGGTAGCAGTATTTGAAGTATAAGGTATACCTATTATAGCATTTCCTTGTTCTCTCTACTTGAACTGTCCAGACTCTCAGCTGACTTAGCAAATGCCTAAGATAATGGAACTTACAGATTGGTCATAATCCTATCAAAGATACCTTACTTAATCAAATGTGACATGCACCTTTTTTCTGAAAATGAGCCGCTGGAAGTTGAGGTGTGTGAATATTAAACATAGAAGCAAGGAGCAGAAGGCCCAGTTGTGCCGAAGCTGGCCTGCCTGTTCCTTGAGCCACATGGGCTAGCCAGCTGAGCAGAGACCTGCTGAATCATCCTAGGGCCCACCTGGCAAAGCAGTTCAACTTCAGCAGGTTCAGCCCTCAGCTGACTCAGCAGGCACTGAACTGGAACTGCCCAGCCCCTTTTCTGGAACTGAGCTGGGTGGGCAGTCAGTAGCTGCTGCCAGGCCAACTGAGGGTCTGTACCTGCTGGAGCCAAAATGCCCTGCCCTTGAGCTGGGTGGGCTCTCAACTGGCTCTGCAGATGCTGCTGGCTGCCTGCCCATTTCAGCTTGAGAAGAGAAGAGGCTGGGCTGTCCTGCAGCTAGGGGGCTAACAGAGCAGTAACAAGCTTTTGTTTCCCCTGCCATGTTATAGCTGCCAGTGGTTCCCTTGCAAAAATGCTGTACTTACTGGTATTTTCTACAAAAGATGGTTTTGAAAGACAAAATAATGGGGGAAAATGTTCCTCATCTGTCTCGAGGTTGAGTAGTGTATGAAAAATATGGTAACATTTTATGAGCTGCCTCATCATTTTGCATTTATGTACTATTGCTTATATGCAAAAGTATTTAGGGGAGTGGATTTTTTTTGGATTTGTTTTTGTCTTAGGAACCAAGTTTTCATAACGTGGGTTGTCTTAACTGTGTACCTAAATATGGATTTAAACATCTAAAGTCTAGGCAGCCAAGTTTTAAAAATAGGTTATTAGAGGCTTGGCATCTAGGAGAACTTGCAATGATAAGCTTATGATCTGTATAGCTGGAAGCAGAGGATGTGCTAGCTATGCGTCCCTGAAGGTCAGAGCTTGGTAACCATTGTACCAAACTGTCAGCCTTTTTTTCGTTTGTTTCAATAAAAATAGTCCTCCCATACTAAAATACATGTATGGTGCAAACATGCATAATTCTGATATAATGGAACTGTACCAGAGAGCGATACTCCTGGAATAGTAGGGCGCACACAACTAGAAAATGTTTTCAGAGTATTAACAGTACCAAGTCTCTCTCCACTTCTCCAAGCTGCTGGGCCCCATATCGACAATCGGATTGGTATCAGCCCATATGGCTCATTTGATAATTGACCATCAGTATTGGGCTAGACCTCAGAAGTATAGGGGTGCACTGTCTCAAATGTTTGTAGTGTTGCATAGCACCTAAATCTTAGATAATAGTGAAGATCCCCCTTCCGTTAGAAGATACAGTAATTCACTATGTGAAACACTAATTGCTAATTTACTAAGCAAAATAAGATACCAGAAATAATTTTAAACTGCAGGGCTTTTAAACAGAAAAACACCAGAGACAAAGTACTTTGAAGTTTGGAGTGTAGGTCATAGCCGTGTTGGTCTAAGGACATAGGCAGACAAGGTTCTTTGTGTGAATCTGATATCTGTTATTAGACCACCTTAAAAAGTCGGGGGAAAAATTTAGCAAGCTTTTGGGTTTAAAAACCCCTCATCAGGCTGAGGCCTGGTGAAGAGTCTTTAAACCCGGAAGCTTGCTAAAAAATGTTTTCCAACTATTTAAGTTGGTCTAATAAAAGAGATCAGATTCACCCAAAGAACCTTGTCTGCTTGAAGTAATGTAGCATTTAAACTTGTATCCAGATGTTCTAAAATGTTTCTGCTTTTGTGATCTCAAGGTAGTTTTTAAATTTACTGTTCTGAACATTAGACCATTTCTTCTCAATTCTGTATCACTGGGTGTCTCCAACTCGCTATGCAGGAAAAAAAATGTACATTTGGAATTAAGGTGCTTGTTCAATGAGAGTGTGTATGCGTCCGTCCGTCCGTCTCCTATTTCAACCATTGTTACCTGATCAGACAATAAGAAAAAAATCGGAGAAACTGGCATTTTGTTGTTCAGGGTAAATAGGTATAGCCTGCAAGTTACAGAACCTGAGGATCATTGTTTTTGGGTGGATCCCAGAGCATCTTGGAAGACGGTGTGTTTCTCTGTTCCTGTTCTTCTAAAGGTCTGTTAGCACTGACCTTCCCTGCACACACCCATGCTGTCCAGTACATGTATTTCTCCCAACTGTGGTGCCTCACCAGGCAGTGGTTTTATGTGGTTATCATTGAAAAATTTCTATTTTCCCTATTCTGCTGTAACAGGAGCTTTTCTGTGCTGACCCCTTAGATTTTAATGTTGCCAGGCAGTTGTGGAAAGAAACTTAAATAGCTTATCATTAATTTAAACAGTTCCTGCTTGATAACCATATTAAACTCTGGCTTGACTAATAACTTTTTCAGAACATACTGGCCTTTCAGACCGACAGAATAGTTGCGTAAAGCCCATGTGCTGTCCCTGTGTGATTTATAATTTTTAAAGGAAAAAGAGTTATTCTTAGTTGAAAAGTTACTGCTCACTTTGGCATTGAATTTTTGTTTGTGACAGTTTGACATTATGTACTGTTGATATTTAGGGAGCTTAAAATTTCATTTTTGTGTGTTCTCTTTTAGGACTTTGAAGAATATCCTGAACATAGAACAAACTTTTTCTTACTACTCCAAGCAGTAAATTCTCATTGCTTTCCAGCATTCCTGGCCATTCCACCTGCACAGTTCAAACTAGTTTTGGATTCTATTATTTGGGCCTTTAAACACACAATGAGAAATGTTGCAGATACAGGTAGATTCAAGTTATACATATCGCAGATTTGAAGGCTTGCCTTTCATTATTTTATTTTTTTTTAAGGATGGGAATATGGCAAGGCAAAAGCAAAGCCTATATTGAAGTACAAGACTTAAGCTTGTGGATTGCGTATATGCTGTTCCTGTGATCATACTTCCTGAGAGTGCTTACTAATTTTTCCTGGCTTTGGTGCATCTCCAAGAGTATAAGTTAAAAATACTTGAATGCAAGTTGTTGTTTTTCCAGAAAGAAACTGGATGGGGAATGCAGCTTGAGTACCTTAAAATACTCTGGAAGGTCATGGACCTTAGACTGCTTCTCCCCTCCCCCCATTTTGCATAGATTGTTCTCTAGGTTGTCTAACCTCGAGAATTTTTTTTTCAGTTTGATCCCATCTGCTTACTGGGGAGGTTTTAAAAAAAACAAACCCAGATGCTTTGACTTCTATGGGTGGCTTTGGCACGCTTTTTATGTAGTTGTAATAGCAAAGTAGAAAACAATATATTACATCAAAGGTGGGAGTTAGTGGATGTCTTACCTGGCAGTGGTTGAGATCTTAAAGGTCAAGAACAAGATTCTTAGTTCACTGGATGCCTTGTAATTAGTGAGCAAATGCACAAAAATATGGATGCGGCCCTCTTCTGGCTGTGGGGAGAGAACTTTTAAAGACAGTTAACAGTTATATTTAATAACTAAGACTTTTCAACGCACAATTCTGAATTTTTAAATATTTAAAATGTATCCCATTACAATAAGTTGCATCTTTTATAATAACTTATTAAAAAGAAACAAACAAAAATACCCCTATTGTTTCTGAGATGACTTGCTAACTTTGCTTACCATGTTGTAGTGCTTGTTTGGATGTGGGCAACTTCCTACGAAGACAAACTGGTATTAAAGGTTTTATTTTTATTAGTAGTAGTAGTCAACCACATCTTTTCTTGATTATTCCAGGCCTTCAGATACTGTATACGCTATTACAAAACGTTGCGCAAGAGGAAGCTGCTGCCCAGAGTTTTTATCAGACTTATTTCTGTGATATTCTTCAGCATATTTTCTCTGTTGTCACAGACACGTCACACACAGCTGGTAAGAAGGTTTGAATTAATAGACACCCTTTAAACTTCAAAGCATTTGTTGTTCATATGAGTGCAAATTTCATTTCTGCTACAACCTACACCCTAATTTCATTTCTGTCATTTTTCACAGGTTTGACAATGCATGCATCAATACTTGCATATATGTTCAATTTAGTAGAAGAAGGAAAAATAAGTACTCCCTTAAACCCCGGAAATCCCGTAAACAACCAAATGTTTATTCAGGAGTATGTTGCTAATCTTCTTAAATCTGCATTTCCTCATCTGCAAGAGTAAGTATGTTGTGACTTTTTGAATCTCTCATTGTTGCTCTGATGTTTGATGTACTAATTAGTCTGTTTTACTTTTAGTGCACAGGTTAAGCTATTTGTAACAGGACTCTTCAGTTTAAATCAGGATATTCCTGCATTCAAAGAACATCTAAGGGATTTCCTAGTCCAAATTAAGGTAAATTAGTTTGATATTCTTGCATGACTATTTAATGTTGGGGAGCTTAAAATGGAAGCACCTGATTGACTTGTAGAAGCCATGTGATGATTCATGCTCTTAACTTTCAGGTTTTGGTTGGATTTCTATCTTTAGCCTATCTTAATTTCCTTCAATGATAACCTCAGATATCTAACAATACTCATTGCACTTGCATATTTACAAGTCTCCTAGGTTTCCTTTTTACTGTACTGGGGGTTTACAGCATAGCTTTTGTCTTTAGTTCTCCCAGTGTCTGAATTTATATTCTTTCTCCGTTTTTAAGGGTGTAAAACTCAAGCTGTAGCCCTTGGCAAAACAATCTCAAATAAAGTACTTTAACAAAGTTCTTAATATTCTGATTCAGTAATGATGCCTAGCGTTAAATATAACCTAAAAAAACACCCCAAATAGGAACCTGATTGGGGTGGGGGGGCAGTGTTGTAGTAGTGAAAATGTGACCATCACACACTGGAAGCATTATTCCTTTGTGCCAATTCAGATGTCAAAGGCAACAACGTGCATATTAAAACGTTTTATGATTTCTATAATAACTACATATTAACTTGGAAGCGTATTTTGACACTTTGCTTTCGGAGCACTTAGTATTTTACTAATGTTGTTTATGAATTATTCAGGAATTTGCAGGTGAAGACACATCTGACTTATTCTTGGAAGAAAGAGAAACAGCTCTTCGACAGGCTCAAGAGGAAAAACATAAACTTCAGATGTCTGTCCCTGGCATCCTTAATCCACATGAAATTCCTGAGGAAATGTGTGATTAAAAATCATAAAACAAGTTATGCAGTTTTCTTTCTGTACAGCTTTGTTGTGATAGAAGAAAACGGCACTTGGATATTTGTTGACCAAAATGATGCCAATTTGTAAATTAAAATGTCACCTAGTGGCCCTTTTTCTTATGTGTTTTTTGTATAAGAAATTTTCTGTGAAATATCCTTCCATTGTTTAAGCTTTTGTTTTGGTCATCTTTATTTAGATTTGCATGAAGTTAAGAATTAAGGCATTTTTAAAAAAAAAACAAAAAAACTTCATGCCCATTTTGTGGCTACAGGGAAAGGAGTCAAAACCCAACTTGTAGAGTCTATTCCAAAATTATACAGTTTTCCGTAAGAGTACCAATTTTTAATTAGGGATCACTTTCTTCCTAGTCTGCCCTGCAGCCTGGAAGAAAAGGTAATGAGTAAAACAAATTGAGTTAATTGTTAAGCAGAGGAATATAGTGCTGCATTATCTGAACAGTTAGCAGCTTTTGGACTGAGTGATAAGGCTAGGCTATATGTATTTGCAAGTCATACGGCAAGTTTGCAGCAAGATCATGTGCATATCATCCCATTGTAAAGCAACTACAAAAGAGTATGGGAACACAGTACAGTTAGTTATTTTTACACAGTTCTTTTGTTTTTGTGTGTGTGCTGTCGCTTTGTCGACAACAGCTTTTTGTTTTCCTCAATGAGGAGTGTTGCTCATTTGTGAGCCTTCATTAACTCGAAGTGAAATGGTTAAAATATTTATCCTGTTAGAATAGGCTGCATCTTTTTAACAACTCATTAAAAAAAAACAACCTCTGGCTTTTGAGATGACTTATACTAATTTACATTGTTTACCATGCTGTAGTGCTTTAAGAACACTACTTAAAAGCAAAATAAACTTGGTTTACATTTATTTTTCTTTGGCTTATTCTTTTATTGGATGAAAATGCTGTGATCACAAAGATTGTATTCCAGAAAAAAACCCCAAGTGAGCTAGATAATTAGTAAACTCCCATAACTGCAGTGACAAACTAACATGCAATAACTCATCAGTAAGCTCTTAAATGCGTGGGTTTTTTAGTTTAGAAGTCATTTTGAATTTCTAACGTTATAATTAAGCTAGCATAATGCAATAAGAGAATAATATAGAGGCTTGGCCTTGGCTACACTTGAAAGTTAATGCAAATTAAAGTAGGGTATGAATATAAAGTACAGGAACCGTGCCTTAAATTGCATGCTGTCTTAATCCATGTTAAATCGAGACTAATTTATTGGCAAGCCCTACTTATTTTTCACTTTTTTAAAATAGTTTTAATGCCTTTTGCCATCTCTGCTTCATACATCTGAAGCAAAGAAAATTAACACTTTTTATAGTTTAGCCCCCTTAACCTTTTCATAATGTTTTTCCTTTGCCATCTAGCAAAGAAATATCTTGATTTCTCTTTTTTGTATGACAGTGTTTGAATAGGTGCTGGCTTTCTTTTTGGAGCAGTTTGGTTTGTAATCATAGGAATGTCACTGAAACAAATTCAGCATTCATGTACAATAGTGGAAGGAAGTAAGGTTAGACAGTTGGTGAGATCCTTTATATAAAAATTGAATATTGTAGTTTACATATTTTGTATTGTGCGTTTCAAAACAAAGATCATTAGCTAACAGTATTCATAAATCATAGCTGAGCAAAATGTTTCTGTGGGCTTGCATATTTGCTCCATATTTCTGCTTATGAATATATCCCCATTTGCTTGACTCAGTTGGTAGTTAAGGCAGAGTTGTATCTGTAGATGGCTTGATAACAAAAACGGTGTGTGAACCAATACCATTTAAAGCCTTTGGGGGATGGGGTGCATGCAAGGACCGTTATTCTTAAACCTTTTGTCTTGGGACTTTATTCTTGTTGGTAATACAGCTATTCTCTCTCTTTATATAGGTGTTTCTTCAGATGGTGATAAGGTGAAGTCTAGGACTAAGTGTAGCTTTCTGTTGTGGTTTGCCAATTGAGCATCATCTGCAGTGACCAGATAATGTTTAACTTTCTAAACAAGTAATAAATACATTGTAGAGGATTCTAAAGTAGTGACACGTTTGGCATAGACAAATAGCCCACTTGTACAGGCTTTTATAGAGCTATGGACTAGAAAAACCTCATTGCTGCTGTGCAAACTCTACAGTCAAATATCTTTATTTAAGAGAAACGTGCCGTTATATTAAACTGATGGCATCATCTGAGTGCTGGCTCAGGGTTGGTCAGTGAAGAGCAGAAACAAGGGAATGGTAATGAAACTAGTTGTGGTAATGTGAAAATGACTTCCACATTTTTCAGTTCAGTTTAAAAAAAAAACAAAACAAAACTACAGGACTACGTCTTTCCAGTTGGGATTGAGACAAGACTGCTTCCATAATGCCACTTTTTCACACGCTAACTTTTGCAACAAAGTCAAACCTGTAGGTGTTCCACAGACTGCATCCTACTGTGAAAAAAAAGTAAATGGGATAAATAAGGAAGGAGTTATCTGTTTGTGTATGCATCTAATACATCCAGCACACTTCTGCATCAGGCTGGTTGAAATTCAAATTCTTAATGTGTTCTGGCTCCAACTTCCTATTAACCTAGAAAATCCACAGCCGTCTTAATTTGTCTTCACAAGGACTGGTGCCTTTAACTGTTCTCTACGGGTCCAAGAAGTATGTAGAACTATTGTGCATACAGCCTTGTTAAGTCATTTTATATCTATATTAAGAACAAAGCAACCTGGACAGGTGCATATTTATATTCAAGAATAATTGCAACATACAGCTAAAAACAACCCGTTATAATGTATGCTTTGAATAAAAAAAGAATATGTAGAGCCAAATGTGTAAACTGTCATACATTTTATAAACAGATTAATTTATATATGGAAACAATTAGACTTTGCATATTTCTATAAAATGATATTTTTTTCAAAAATACTAATTTGCTGTATGCTTATACACACATCGTATGTCTATACCTTCTTAGGGCTTGTCTTCACATGAGTTTTTACCCAAGTTATTTACTGATTTTAAGTGGTTTACATTTTTTAGTAAAAGCTGATGTGCACACTCCCTAAATATCCGTTTCAAGCTACTGTATTTATTAGTGTAAGCTGAAGCAAAATTACTTTCCAAACCTTTTCTTTTTTTCCCTTTTTTATTTAGGTGATAGTTTGTGTACACTAATCTGTTAAGCATTGATTTTAAAATGTCCTCATTTTCAATAAAGTTAAGATTTATGCTGAACGTCATGTTTTAGAAACACTTGTCTCCATGGAATGTAGAAGGGGAGCAGCCCAGTCATTTTGAGCAACAGACAGGAAAACTTCAGACCCCAGACCTTGTTACAAACAACAGAACTATAAAAGGAAAATACTGCATTGGCAAAATGTGGAAAGTGAAAATCCATTGATTAGCTAATGACACACTGCGGTAAAATGCCATGAGTACAGTAAGGTAGTTTACAGTCTGGAACATGCTGAGACTTCTTGCAAATACTGGAAATAACTTGGACTTTGTTTGGAACATGGTTGCACAACTTAATGCCCCTTCCACTATGATCTTTGTTTCTAGATAGAGTAGATGTCTTGTCCTGTCCTATCCTTTGTTTTATGAGTTGAAGTGTTAACAATGATTTTTTTTTTTTTTTTGGGTGCTGCAAAATGCTCACCTTCCACCCACTCTCCCCATCTCCCTTAGGAACTGAAATTTTACAGAATTCTAGTTTCTGAAGGTTGCTGTCTTCATAGCTGAGATGTCCCTTACAGACATCTTGGTAATACCAGATGAAAGATTTATTTCCAGAAAAAAGAGATGAGTAAAAGCTCCCTTTAAGCAGTTCACTAGTTGGGCAAAGGGGCTTAATGGGATCACATTTGAGTCTCTAAAAGGGCAATCAGTAATCAGAAGTGTTGCCATATGCCAGTATTTTCACTTCAAAATAGAAAATGATGAAATCTTACTGTTGATAATACATCCACAAAGTGGATTTGGAGATTAAAAAGAATTGGGGATTAAATGGGGAAGCTAAAAAATAGTGATCAGGAATTACACAAAAATTGGGAGTTACAGACAAATGGCTGGAGAGGGAAGTTTGTTGATGATTTCCTCCCAAATTGTAGTATAGATTCTCTGAACAAGTAATATGAGATCGGGGGACTCCCTGATGTATATTTAAATGGGAGTTTTACACAGGTGATGAACCCAGTTAAAATGTTTGGTATGTTAGGCAGAGGTGGGTTATCAGGAGCATGTTGCTCCTGTGTCTTCCTTGGCTTGCAGTAGCTTTCCAGGTGCAATTCAAGGAGATGATTTTGACCCATAAAGCTCTGAGCAGTAGCTTGGTCCTTGCATTCCTAAGGGATTGCTATCTCCCTAATGTTCTATTGGGATCTGCAAGATTGTCCAAAAACAACCTCCTGCTAGTACCATCTGTGCACCACAAGTTCAGTGAAAACGTGGGAGGTTATTATCAGTAGTTGCTCCTCTGCTCCTGAGTTCCTCCTTTGTGGTCCATCAGAGCCTGGATGGATCTCAGTATGTTCCAGAAGTGTAAGATGCTTTTATTTGGGCTGGTCTTTAGCAGGCAGGGTTAAGTTACAACATTGTCTAAGGCTACGTTGTATAAGAGGAGGAGAGGATATAAATCTAATAAATAAATTGACTGCTGTTGCATTTACCTATCACTTTGTTTTTTGCTACTGTCCCATTCTAAAAAAAATCTCCCCCAAATTTTCATGCAGTCCCACACTTGTGTTCACCCACACTGATGTATCTCCATCTTGTGGTTTCTGTATTAATAAGGTAACCACAAACCCTTGGACTTGGGAATGTCTGGTAATTTGGGACTGTCCCTACTTGTCTGTAACAGTTAAGTTTTAACCCATGCAAACTGTCCACATGATAAAGCCACCAATCAGTCAAGACTGGAAATGACAGTAGCTTGGCTCAGCATATTGCAACTCTCGTGGATCATCTTTGATTTTTGTTTAGTAACGTTGATCTTCAACCTCTCAGCATCCTTGCCAGAACAGCCCCTTCTCATACCTGGTTGGATCCATGTGAGCTACCTGCTGCAAGTGGTGAGCCTAAGGACTGTATCGCAGCCTATTTACACACCACTGGGGGCTGGAGTCCAGGGGAGGTCCATTCACTACAGTTGAGCATTGCGTTGTGATCAGGGATGAGCACGTGGAAGATGCGATTTGGAATGGGTTTGATAGAGAATGAATGCTTGGCAGCAAGAGTATTCTGCAGGTATGGACAAGAGAAGTAGGGGGAGAAAAACTGAAGATGCAGAAAAAAGACAAAAGCGTAGAAAATAAGGAAGGAATGGGCAACCTTTTCTTCCCTGCCATCCTCAAGCTGTCAACTCCTTCCTTTATGTACTGCATTACTAGATACCCTCTACAGCAGTGGTTCTTAACCTCTTGTATCAGGACCCATTTGTAAACATCAGTGGCCAGTCTTGACCCACTGCCCCTCCTGACCCGCTGCTCCCAGTATGAAAGGGTATGGGGGGCCCCAAGCAGCCCCTTTCAGGCTGGGACTCTACCAGCCTGCAAGGGTAAAGTCACTGTTTCCTATGTTTTTCTCCTTTAAAGGAGACTCCATTTTTAAACTTTGATCCATCTTCAAAGTATGTTCATGATCCTTTCCACATATTCTTGTTGACCCACTTTTGGGACATGACCCATAGGTTGAGCTTAAGCTCAACCCTAGAGCTTAAGCGTTCCCTCCCCTATTGATGCAAAATCTTGATTTCCTACCTTCAACATCTCATTGCTTTGTAAATACTTCTCAAGTATTCCCTCAGCATACGAAATATCAGCTTTTTTACATTTTGGGGAACTCTACAAATTCCTCTATTTTTAAAGCTTTTGGACAACCTGTTTTGCTGGATTGAGCACAAAATCAAAGTGTCCCATTTTGATCCATTGAAGACCTTGGCAGATGGTGATCGACTTGGGTGTGAAACTGAGCTAAAGCCATAGTCACTGCAGTAAAGAAAATGTGCTGTGAACTATTTAAGTTTTGCTGTGAAGCAGTACTACTTCATACTACCTTTATTGATGCCCAAGTCAAGTCAGGACTGGCTTTGTCTTGGTATTTGTATGAAGAACAACACCTGCTCAAGCCTTAGTATTTTGGCTAAACCTGCACACCTGTTTTTTCTCCTTCAAGTACTTTTGCATATGTATCCCCTGTAGGAATGCACACGCACCTCAAACTCATGCTTGGAGGGGTTTCTCTGCCCCTCCCCTCCCCAACTTTCCCCTTAGCCTATTGGAGCGGGCCTGCAAAATGCTTGTGGTGGGTTTTTGAGAACTCTTCCTGTTCACCAGGATCACACCACCCTGACATGAGGATTTTTGGCAGGGAATAGCAGATTCTGTTTCAAGTGTTCCCAGATCCAAGTGATTTTATGTAAAACTTGGAGAAAGAAAGGGCTTTTCCTTGTAGGTCTATTTCTGAAAAGTGGAGCCCAGGTCCTTGGGCTGGGGTCATGGCATAATCGTTGATCGTTAGGAATATTTTACAAAAGAAAATTATCAAAAAGGTTTTGGGTTTGAGGGGGCAGGTTTATCCCCAGTTATTGGAGGGGTCCAGGGGTGTAGGCTATAGCCATGTTGGGCTAAGGACCTTGTCTGCCTTGGAGGGGTTCTAGCTCTCTACACAAGTTGTATACTAGGCTGTCACCACCCTGCCTTGGAATTGTTGGTGTTACCCTCATAGCTGTTTACCAGTAAACTGAAAAGCAACACACGCTATATCTGTAATAAGTATTTGTAGACCAGAAAAGCCTTGTGTAAATGCAGTCTGTAGTGGTTGAATCCCTTGTGGACAGTAACCAGCCTCCTAAATTGGACACAAATTGGGATCCTGTATACTTTGAAGTACACTGGGTCTCAACATTATCTAAGATGCGGTCTCAGGTCTGACTTCTTAGGCACGCTCTAGGGGCCAGACTCTCTTTGGTACCTTTCCTTAGGCTGTGGGGCTCCATACTCCTATTTCCCTTGACCCCATCACCAGTTCTGAACCTACTTCAGACTCCAATTAGCTCTTTCCACAGCTCTGTCCTTCTTGGGCTCTTTGGTCTGCAGTTCAACTCATTGACAGCCCTGTGCTCATTTTTTAAATCTGTGGATTCCTTGGTGTAAAAGGAATTTCTGAAATGCACATTTACAGACCAAAAAACAGTATGTTTACAGGTGTATGGCAAAATAGATACCTGAAGTAGTTTCATCACTGCTAACAGCATTTCTAGATCTTTGTCCATGTCCTTCAAGAAGCCCAGCCTTTCCACCCACCTCTCCTCCTCCTTTCTCTGCATCTCCCTGCTTAAAAGGTCTTTGGCAAAATCTCTGTCATATCTTTTCTTATGCTAGAATCTTTAATGATCCAGCCTTTGGTTGGAACGACTCTCAATGGGCTGTTTAAGATTAACAGTTCCACCAGTAACCCCTATTGTCAAAAAACAGTTTAAGGCTATTGATTTGCCAAAAGCCCTTGATAGCCCTGTTGTCTAGGGCTGAGCACCTAGGGCCTTTATAGATATGCTCTGGGAGGCAGGTTTGGGGGGGTTGATTTAATTAGCAAGCTGTGGTAATTAAAAGCACCTGAGTATCATGTGTATCAGTATCCCTGCACTGAAAAAATGGTAGCGGGGTGCTTTGAACTAAAGCTGGTGTGACCAGCTTTATTCCAAAGCACCCTGTCACCATGATAAAAGTCAAATGCCCTATTGGAAGAGTTGAAGCGTAATTGCAAAAGACTGTTGGTTCTACTTCTGAAACCACTTACATTTATAGACTCACAGAAAAATAGACCTGGAAGAGACCTCAAGAAGTCATCTAGTCCAAACACCTGCTCAAGATAGGATTATCCATGCCTGAACTGTTTCACTCAAGTGTTCGTCTACCCTGTTCTTTACAAACTTCCAAGGATTGAGATTCCACACCCTCTCTGGGGAGCTTGGTCCAGTGCTTCATAACCTTCTTCATTCTTTCTAATATCCAACCTAATTTTCCTTACCTGAAATACTAAACTTATATTTCTTGTCCTGTCCCCTGCACCAAAAAAGAATAGTTGATCACCATCCTTTTTATAATCACCCTTCAATTATTTGAAGACTAATGTATCTCCCCACTCAATCTTTTCTTCTCCAGACTAACAAATCTCAGTTTTTCCAACCTTTTTTAAAGTCTTTTTTTCCCCTAGGTCTTTAATTATTGTTGCTGGTCCCTGTTGGACTCTTTCTAATTTGTCTATGTAATTCTTGAAGTAAAGGGCCAAGTGTGGACACAGGATTCCAGGTGAGGCCTCACCAGTGCTGAATAGAGAGGAAGAATCGTTTTCTTTTGTGTGCAAGCAGCACCCTTATTTAATACAGATGTGACGGGTTAGCTGGCAGTGACTTAGCCCAGGGGTTTTGAAAGGGCAAAAGATGATTGGAGGACTTGGGATTCCCTTTTCTCACCAATCTGGTAATGATTTGGCCTAGGGGTTTTGAAGGGGTAAAAGACGATTGGAGGACTTGGGATTCTCACCAATCAGGCCCAGAGATTCACCCCTCATGTCCCCTGATTGGCCCCTGGGGTCACCTGGAGGGGGATAAAAGGGGCAGCACAGCTGACTCAGGAGGAGACCAGCGAGGGACTATGAGGAAGGAGCTTTGAAGAGCTGGCAAGAGCTGAACCAGCGGGGCGGAAGCAGTTACCCCAGAAGAGCCGGAAGGAGCAGGACCTGCAGGCAGCAGTGGGACCCTCAGCAGCACAATGTGTGACCGGCAAGAAAGGCATCCTGCTGGGCTCCAGGATCCCCTACAAGAGGCCGTGGCTAGCAGGAGGATCTGAGCAGCTACCTGAGGGGTCCCAGCTTGGCTTCCAGCTCCCCCAATCAGATGCCAGGCAGCTCCACGTGAAGCAGGGGCTCCAGGAAGGTCAAGACCCCTAGCAGCTTGGAGTAGTACCACCAGTAGTGGTTGTGTGGCAGTGTTCTTGCCTACCACATGGGAGATCTGTGTTCAAGTTTTAGCTTTGGTGACTTGGGGTGAGTGAGCTAACAAGGAGAAAGTCCTCTTGCAGTAGACAGGAGCCATTGTGTTTTCTCCCCCTCCAGTGACCCAGGCCCTATATTTCTTTGTCCTTTGACATTTTGTATTTTGTGCCGTTTTATATTTCCCCAACCAGTATTGTTTGCTCTGTTGTTTGTGTTTTGTGTTTTATATTTTGTTAACCCTGTCTTTTGCCAATGATTGTAAGTGTCTAACCTTTGTTGAATCCTGCCCCTTGGGGCATTGTGGTGTCCACTGTACCCCCCTGGTTATGCCTGTTATGTTCCCTCATTAAAAGGTATATGGTTAAGTCCACAGTGGTGGTCTGGCTCTGCTCTATAGGGGGAGGAGAATCCCTACACCTCCCACAGCGCTTGTGCACCTGCTCTGATCCCTTCAATTGGAGAGGGGGAGTACCTTTTGGAGTACCGCCCGGGTTACACAGCCTAACAGGATCTTGGCCTTTTTTTTACAGGAGAACATGGTTGACTCTGTTTTGGTCCCATTACAATCCCCGGGTCCTTTTCTGCAATACTACAGCCTAGCCAGTTGCTCCCCAATCTGTGTTTAGTACTTCGCCCTTGTCCTTACTGAATTTCA